CTCTCTCTCTCTCTCTCTCTCTCTCTCTCTCTCTCTCTCTCTCTCTACATGGCACATAAGGTCATAAAATATGTTTTTATCTCAGCATCATCCACTTATTTAATATTATTATATTTATGACTTGTGTCTGTTTTAGGCAGGAGAGGAAATTTGTTTATTCTCACTGATTTAGAACACTCTATGTTTCCATACTTAGTTTATATAACTGTAATGCAAATAGGCATTTATATGGCTCCCAGTCTTTTGCTAGTAAAGATGACATTGCTATGAACATTCGTGTGTATATCTTTTGGTGTCCATATGCATTTCCTTGGGTCTATTCCTAAGGGAATGGTTGAGTCATCTGGTATAATATGTTAGCTCTAGGAAACACCAGATTCTTTTCTCAAAGGCTGATGTACCTGGCAACCTTCGTGCTTGAACTGAATTGTGACTTGAGTTTGGACCGCTGAATTTGCATATTTTCCAAAGGGTTTTTTTTTTTAAATAAATTGAGGTATTTTATTTTGTGAAGAGATATTCAATTATTCTGACCATTATTAATTTATTATATATTGTTGCTTTATATAAGAAATCTTAACTATTCCAGATATAAGAGGTGTTTGTATACTTACAAAAGAGTCTTATATTTATGTGTGCAGGTGCAGTGTGTATGTCTGCTTGTGCAGGCACAAGGTTTATGTCGGGTGTCTTCCTCAATTTCTACCCACCTTATATATTGAGGCAGGTTTTATATATATATTTCCTTCAACACAGGGTTTCTCTGTGTAACAGTCCTGGCTGTCTTGGAACTCATTGTGTAGACCAGGCTGGCCTCAAACTCACAGAGATTCACCTGCCTCTGCCTCCAGAGTGCTGGGACTAAAGACATGCACCACCACTGCCCAGGTAAAAATAGTATATATTTTCATTGATTCTTTGAGAATTTGTATTTGATCATATTCGCCCCCCCCCACTGTTTCCAGATCTAATCCCCCTCCCTATCCACCCAACTGTGTACTTTTTTTTCTCTTTTGAACCCATTGATTCCAGTTTGTATTATCCAAATACTCCTGTGCAGGCCCTGCTGTGAAGCATGATTCACCTACCAGGAGTCACACCGTTAAGGAAAACTTGCCCTTCTCCTCCCAGCAAGTATCCATTGCCAATACTTCCTCAGCTAGGGATTGGACTTTGCGCCACCATCCCTCCTCCATGCTGGGATTTTGTCCGGTTTGAGCTTGTACAGATCTCGTGCATGCTGTCACAGTCCCTGTGAGATCGTGTGTACATCTGCCCCAATGTATTCAGAAAACACTCTCTCTGTAGTCACTCACCACCACCACCTGCCCTTACAATCTTTCCACTCCCTCTTCTGGAATGATCCCGGAGCCTTCAGGGCAGGGGTATGGTTTAGATGTTCCGTTTAGGACTGGGTGAACACTGCACCATCTCTTATTCTGGAGGCGTGGCCTCTGTGCAAACTGGGAGCTCACCTGCATTTTTACATGGTTCTAGGATCCAAACTCTAGTCCTCACACTTAGCAAGTCCCCTTACCCATTGAACTACCCTCCCAGCACTGGAATCTATATATTATAAAACACCTCTCCTTCTTGCTTTTTGTTTTTTAAACATATTTTATTAACTCTTTGAGAATTTCATACAATAAATCTTGATAATATTCACCCCTAGTCTCCCCACCCAGTTCCAATCCTCTCACTCTTATAATCTTTCCACTCCTTCTTCTGTGATGCTCTCCGAGCCTTGCATAGGGTGGTTGTGTTGTAAATGTATTAATTGGGGGAAGGCACCCTACAATCGATTGATCTCTGCCTTTTGACCAGCTGTGGCCTTCTCATTTTCTCTTACTTGTGAATCTGAATCTATAGATGCAAGTATATAACATGAAGTAATTGTAGATATCAGGGAAGTAAAAAGGGGTCACAGGATGAGTAGCACTGGAGAGAATAATAGCGGACACAGTTGCTATGAAAGGGAAATAATGGGTGATGGAATCTTACCTGGGGAGGGTGGAGCAGGGAGGGAGAGCAAAACAGAGAGACAGGAAGGGGGAAATAACACTAAGGATGCTTGAAAAAGTCATTAGGAATTATAATTTTATGGTTACTTAAAATTAATATATGCATACATATATACATATATGTATTAGTTATATATATTTATATTTTAACTTTATATTATATAATATATATTAAAGTATATGTTATATATACTTTTAAAGTATATGTATTATAAGTTTATCATAAGTTTAAAGTATATATATATATTATGCGTACATTAGTTAAAGTTATACCAGTTGGGGTGACGTTTCCCCCAAAACCAGAGATGTATCTAACAAAACCCCTGTGGCAGTCATGGGAAGCCTTCTTTCTAGTTTTTGGTCAGGGGTTGCAAAACAATAAAGGTGACTGCCCTTTCTCTTGTTGTCTTCCAGGAAAAGAATGTTAGACTGTTGCCAAAGACACCGGACACTTAGGACACGGACTTTGGGAAATCCACAAGTCTGACCTGGAGGCCTCTTTACTAAGGACTACCTCTCAGTCTTGCAAGGGTCCTGCAAGCTGTCAGGGGAGAAAAGCAACGGACAGTTCTACCCAGCTGTGATGTCCATGTACCACACTAACGACCGCCGTGGTAGACTGTCCCCAAAGGCACAATAGTGGCACGCACATCCTGGGAGTAACCAAGAGGTGGCCACGTGCACTTAATACCCACTCAACAGAAAGGGATTTACGTCTGGTACTCTAAACCTGCCCAACTGCTCAGGCTGGAGAGGCCATGGAACCTGCAGGAGAACCGCTTATTGCCTGTTTCCTAAACCAGTATAATCTCTAACTGAACTCTGAATACTTACCCTTAATTGAAGATAAGTATAGCTCCCACTCCTTTTAAGTTTCTTAATCATATGGTTATTCTTGTTTCATGACAAGTTCTTAATTTCAAGAAGACTAATTTCTTAGTCTTTCATTTTATGGTTAGTGAGTTTTATATCATGTTTAGATTGACCCACCCTAAGGCCACGAGGCTGTTTTTCTGTTTCACATTATACAAGCTTTATTGGTAAACTTTTCCCATTAGGTCTAAAATCCATCTGTAAATACCTTTTTAAAAAATAGTGTAAGATAGGGCCAAATTAATTTTTCCCTTTTGGGAATTCCAGTAACGGAACCATTTCTTTCAGAGACCATTCTTTGCACACTGCCTTCAGTGAGGCCTCATCCAGCCTGCTGCTGGACTCTCGGGTCTCTTCCATGGATCCAGTGCTCCTGATCACACCAGCCCCACAATGCCGTAAGGACCACTACACTTTGAACTTTCAGCTTCCTTCTCCTTAGGTTTTGTCTAGACTGTGTTTTATCTTTTGCAATCCATATAAAGCTTAGAATTAGCTTGCTAATTTTCACAAATAATAAAGGAAAAGGAAGAAGAAAGGGAGGGAAGGAGGAAAAAGAGGAAAGGAAGGAGGGGGAACATGCTAGAATTT